ATGAAGAATTTACAATTTAGAGGAAAACTGGACAAAAACCCAAATAAGGTTCACCTGGCCAAAGTCGGTTCCTTCCATATGCAAATTCCTCTAGAAACTATTTAGAGGAGGAAACTAAATGATTTCGATGATGTGTTAATCTCATGCCACATAAATTTTGTATTGTAAAAAATAAGCAAAGCTTATTTTGCCTCAACTCAACTTACATCAAGTTCAACTGACCTTAAGTAGTTGCCGGTAGTGTCGACTTGTTAGTCACTTTAGTGCAACTAGCAGCAACTAGGAAGCAGTTGCCCAGAGCCATTATAAAAAGAAATGTAACTCACCTGTAGTTTATGTTGCGTTTTGTGTTCAAATCCCAATGGCCAATTGCTGTATACATCCTATCAACAACGGTTGCTCTGGTTGGCGTATCGATGGACCAAAACTCTGCACCGTCAGATAGGATGTGCGACAAAACGCCAGCAGCATTGTAACTCACTTCTATTCCATCACTTTTATCAAATAACAGGTCGCTAATTATATAAAGTAAACAAAAGAAAGTGTACTTTAACCCTTGAACTGTGAAAAAAAGAGCTGTTGGTTTGGTTATAAATACACTATTTTGCATTACACTCCTATTTTACCTTTTTAGCCTATAACCAAATAAACATGTTAGATAGCTCATATTAAATTATTATAGAAACCAAATTCAATTTATTTTAAGCTTAACTAATTAACTACAATGGTTATGAGTACTTAATTACAAACCAGTGGTGGTGCCAGGGGGAGGGAGGCAGCAAAATTGTCCCCGTCCGACAGGCCTGGACCCCCATATCGTCTGATACAATGATGAGGTCATCGGATCAAAAATAATTAATTGCTTATTCAAATAACGTTATTTTGATTGCCAACCCCGAATATTGTGGTCTAAAATGACAATTTCGACCACACTAAGCTAATAAAACTCTCCCTGTAAATGTTACCAGGGATTTTTATTCCGGGAACCTAAACAACACTCTATTCAGCCCCTTGGTTTTGCATCCCCTGTCGGTCCACTTGTCATCCGCTGTTAGAAAAAACATGTCTAATATACAACTTTATATACTTGAATAAATCTCAAAATATTCTAAAAGAAAAAACTGATTTGTGAATATGCGGATGTGCAATAAACTTAAAAATGTACCTGAATGTCTGAGCGTGGGCCAATAAACGACAACGGAGGTATGGCACCTCTGCAACATTACCTATTAGCCCCATCATGTTTCTAAGCAGCTCCTGCCTTTCAGGATAAAACTGGAAAGAAAAAAGGGATACTTATTTTGCATTAATGTATCAAAAATGATTAAGAAACAGTATAAAGTATATACTTTCCGCTCGCACCAACCATATTATGAATACAATAATTATAATAACAATAATGGTATAAATGAACAATATCATCTTGTTTTGTTATAGAAGATAAGAAATTACAATACTACCTGTCTACAAAGCAAAAACAATTCCATGCCTCGATATTCAACAA